AGTAACAATACAAGCAAGACAATATCTTCAATAATCATGACCTTTATTCAGTATGTCGATATGAAGCAAAAAATGGTGTACGGCTTTATGAAAATTGAGAATTTGACCCAAGAATATCCAAGTCTGACCACATATTTTGAAGGAGAAATAATAAGTAGACTACACCCGTTCATGACTGGTAAATGGGATGCTACCTTGGAAACAGATGTCTTACACTGGGTATTTGTTTAATTATTATCAATTCACTTGCAGGAAAAAATACCAGCAACAAGTTCTCTAGGGAACTTTCATATAGATAGTTTCGACTACTCTATTTTAGAAACATCCGATACGATATTTATGAGATGGAAAGTGAGTTGTTTTTTAATGTTAAAAATTTTCTTAGGAAAAATTCATTGTTCCAGATCCCGGGTTGAAACACATAGAGGGAGCGTCATTCGCTGGATTTTATTATATCGGATTACAGAAATCTATTGGACATGTTCTAGGTTATTACTATCATCTTAACTCAGAAATGTATGAATTTATTTTAATCATTTTATCTTTACCTTAGGTTTCAATCTCTCGAACTGAAATATAAACCAGAAAGCACACCGTCTATTTTTCAGTTGCGTTAAGGATGTTCATTATTACGTATTGGCTTGTGAGATAGATGTGTTTCAACTGATTTATCGCTCGATTTTTATTTATTTGCTAGACAGGATGTGGCACTTCATTTTCATGATATCTACAAATGTATTTAAATAGCAGTTTATGACAAATACACTTCAATTTACATCTTCATGCAGTCCTTAATCACTATATTTATACTAATATCTCTGAAATGTACAGCTTTTAGTATTTATTGAAAAATTCACTGAGTCACTTGAAAAATATAGTTCTATTTGATACTTATTGTTCTACTAATCAATAATGAGAATTAATAGCCATCACATGTTTTCAATGATAGGATACCGTGTGATTGATCGTACGAAATTATTCAAACTAACTTTTTTAACCATGAAGCTTTACAAATGCACCTGCCCATCAATTTGTTTCAGAAATCATCTTATGTCATCCACAGAATGTATCGACTGCAGGGAAACTTAAAAAGTAACCCAATATAAGTTCCTCCAATTAAAGAAGAATAAATGGAAGTAACCCGTACAGTGAAACTTCCTCTACAACATCAGTCGTGTGTAACGTGGGAAAGATGAATTCTGAGACATTTAACTCATGGACCCTATTAAATTATTGTTTGTAGTTGAAAGGCTTAAGGTTTCTTAGTTATTTCAGATAATAAACATGATAATTAGGAATATGAACTGATAATTTTAGAGTGCAAGTCTATACATCTGACAGTTGAGTCATTCCAATTATGTTGGTTGCCTTCGCACATACTCTGAAGATATGTGATTAGTCGTACTGATTCTGTTCATTCCCGTAGGCGGATTACTATTTGTTGTAATACAATTCGTCTATGAATACTCCTGTTTTCACTGTGCCGTGTATGTGATTGTTGCGCGATTCTAATCCATTGCTAGAAAGTTGATCTTATTTTCAAGCACCTCGATTGTAGAGAAATAGTTCATCCTGAAGAAGCTGGGAAAGATACATAAGTAGGAATGGTATCTAATAATTATTTAGATCGAACAGTCAGTAAAAACCAGTGCCATCCACTAAATTGGCAGGTGATCGAAGGCTCATTCCGTCAGGCTTGGAGGACGATAAAGGGCGGAAACAACTCAAAGGTGAACTGACAAGTTTATTTAGTGGTCATGAGGAGTGATGGACAACGAAAGCAAAAGAGATAGGAAAGGTGGTAGCGTTAGGTGACACCGAACAGCCATTCCGACTCATCAAGAAAACACGCATTGAGAATGTTGGTGTTAGCGAGACTATTTCGGAGAAAGACGGGACGGATTATTTGCTCTTGATTTGGGAGACTAGGCGGACAAATAGAACACTAAGGAACTGTTCGACTGGCCTCCAGTTACCATCCAGCTAGTCACTATCTCCAAATAACCTGAATTGCAAAGTGATATAAGGTTGCAGGTAATCTATGATGATGGTAAGCAGCAGGTCCTAGTGGCTTGTTTCCAGAGATCTGTAAGGCTAGTGGTCCAGTTTTAGCGGCCAAGTTGGTTGAGATGTTATAACATGAGCATGCTTACCAACTACTGACTGCAGTTACATTTCTTGACCTTAAAGTCGCATTCAACTCGGCTGATCGTGAGTTTCTGTAACAATAGTTCTCACTGAAAAACGTACCCAGAAAGTATATAAATATTGTAAAGGCTCCCTACTCGAACACTATTGATTGAGTTAGCGTTTATGGCGAACTGTAAACCTCAAATGGTGTTTCCCACTGTCTCCATTTTTACTTAACATTTTCATTTGTACCCCCCTGGAAATTACTTCTGAGCTAAATCTTCACGAGTTGGTTTCCTACCAGGAAGTTCATTTATCGCTGCAGAATACGCAAATGACATAGTCCTATGTGGGAAATACGCTGACAAAACTTAGAATCCTTTCATCAACTTCAGCAACAATTTGAGCATGTTTGCGATGCGTTGGCCATTTCACTTTGGAGTGTAACTAACCCTCGTGTTCAACGAATTCCCAGCATACATTCAGAAAGCTGTTGGCCTTTGCCAACTCTTGTCGCTTGTAGCACATACTAGATCTCAGTCTGTGAACGAAAGGAAGTATATACTATGCAGCGGTCCTCTTTGTTCTACTTTCCGACTATGAAACATGGCCTATGAGAGCAGAGGACACACGTAGGCTGAAAGTCATTGATCATGAGTGTCTTCGAAGCATTGTTCGCGTATCGTGGGACAACCGAGTGAGCAAAATCGAAGTTAAGCCAAAGTGAGAAACCAGTTGATGAAGGTTTAAACCTCATCAACTGAGGCATTTAAAACATGTGTTACGTATACCTAACCACCACCCACCTCGACGAGCTTGCTTGTGTAGAAGTAGGTTTCAGGGAAGCTATGGGTGGCCAGACCAAGACATGGCATTAATCCATATAGTCACTGACTGTTGCTCCAACCCATGTTGATAGAATCCAACTATCTGGTCGGGGTTCGCGTGATAACCGTGATCAAGTTTGGGTAACACAGCTTGAAATTGTCCACAGTGGTTCAGATGCACTTATTCTTTATCTTCTCGATATTGTACTCCAGTATCCCTTCGTGCATACCTTTCCACCATCTTTTTAAACCATATTACTAAGATTGTCTTTCGTTTTACGATTGCTACAATATTATTTTGTTATGCCAATCTAGTTCGACAACGCGGACCAGCATACGTCTGTTCTATGTTGTTTACTCAAGACCGCTGTGTCTAACGTACTTATATTCTTAACATGTTTTTTATGATGCTCTCGCCACCTGTATTGCATTCGGATATAATCAGCGATATCATGCTCCAGTAAAATAGTTAATTAAAGTTATCCAAAGCAAACTGCTACCCAGTCACCTGACTTTCCCTGGCTTATTATTGTGACAGATTTGTCATCTTTAGTGATGGATAAGAGCGAAGTACGCGCCTCGTTGTTTTCGGCTATTATTGTCTATATCTTTGAGGCTACTTAAGCAAAATTAAGGAATTACTTTTCCATACAACCCCGGGATGTATTATCTTCATGGTGCGGTTGATATTAGTTATACTTACTCCAAGTACTAGAATAGGCAGCTTGTTGTAATTCTGGTGTAAGAACCACTGAATAGACGTCTAAACTGTCAAATTGGAGGGAAAATAAAACTGTCTCAGCAAATATGGAATCAATATTCAAACGATGAATCCCAGAGCTCTTTAAAACTGTGGAAAGTACTCATCGAAGTAAAACAGATACTTTGCCACTTAAAGTGAATTGAGACTAGTCCGTAATAAAAACAGAACGAGTTCAATGTGCATATTTCTTGTGATATGACACAAGTACTGGAACCATTTCAGTTGCAGGATAATGCTGAGTTCAATGCCCTAATATTCAAGGACCATTTATAGCTACCAGAATAAAAACCTGTAGCTTCTATGAGAAAATAAATCAGTAGGCATGCATTAAAGGAAACAGATAGACGACTGTCCACCTCCATATAATTACTGTGACGACTTCACCATGAAGTAGGTACTGAGTTTCCCGGGGGAACCCCACTGGGACTTAGTAATCACTTTCTAACCTCTGCTATCACTCAACAGGCGGGAGCTGTGTGCCTGCCTAGAATGTCCTGAAAAACGTCACGGCATGTACAGACCTAACCGAATTGTTGCAACCGCGTTTCTATAAGAAATACTCTCGGAAACTGCCAAGAAATTAGGAGACAGGCGACACTCAACGAACGTGGGAAAACCCATTGCAGCAGCAACCGAGGACGAGTCATTAAGTAAAGACGCCTAAATATGGCCGCAGTAAATCCCACTCTACTCCATAGCGACTTTCATTCAAAAGCAACTACCACATCAATTACGAACACCGCGACGGTACCCCCTGTAAACCGTTAACATACATGAGACGCGACTCATCTTGGATGACAAGTCTCCCAACATTCTTTCGTCACTACCAAATATTACTTGTTTTATATTCTTTATTTCCTATTAATAAATTTGCCACTTAAAACTGTAACCGACACTCTTGAGACTTCATAAAACATTTACTCAGGAAGGTCCCGAGGCGTTAAGATATATTGGTAGGATAAATATCAAGTAGATATGCAAGCCAAACTACCATACAGTGCTAGAGAAATACTCATCTCATCACGGCACGGTAAAACTGTCAACGAATTACCTTGACATGCAATGAACACAATCGACCGCCTTCCCCTTTATATATTCTCAGTAACCGCTAGACTAAAGCAAAGAAACCTTAACGATAGTCTACCATCTTAATAGTGTCAAGTGACGTTTTTGTGTGCATCTTACTCGACCAACCTGAACTGTCTACAGAACTATTAGGTCGATGTTGCAAAAACCAGCTTCACAACGCTGTGAAACACAAATTTCCAAAAGTCTGAGTTCCGAACTAAATTTATTGCAAATTAGTGAGCAAGACGTCTTGCCCGTATTCGCTTATCGCGCTCTTCAATAATGGACAACCTGATGCCCCTGTTTTTCGGTAGAGAAATCCATGGTTTGTTCGACTTTCCAATGATGAAAATATTGTTTAGGCGAGTGACGAACTGGTGCCCTGTGCTGTCGCGCACGTGAACCATTTCAACAGAACCAGGATGGCGTTCCCATTGGGTAATAGTTCCAACTCGTCCCAAGTTACGTCCACCTGTTACCATACACATATTGCCTACAAAAGCAATAAGCTTGAAATGTTTTTACCTGGTTCAAATTTAATATGGTTTAGAACCTTGCCCGTAGCGATGTCCACCTGGATCGTATCATTTGGCTTGATATTTGGATCTGGGTATCGAATCGTCCTGGCGTCATGGGTTACAATATAAGGTACTCCTCCACGGCCGACAAGAACCTTCCTTACTTTACAGAGCTTATACTTAGCCTCGTCAGGATGGATGCGCTGGATGGCAAACCTGCCTTTGGTGTCGTAAATAAGACGGAAGTGCTCGTTTGTTTTCTCTATGGTGATAACATCCATGAATCCCGCAGGGTACTTCTTGTCAGTGCGCACTCTTCCGTCAACTTTAACCAGACGTTGAGCCAATATCTTTGTGCATTCTGTATACGTGAGCGCATACTTAAGACGATTTCGCAAGAATATGCTGAGTGGTAGACATTCTCTCAATTTGTGAGGACCTGTGCTGGGTCTTGGGGCAAAATTACCCCCCAGCTTATCCAACATCCAGTGTTTTGGAGCATTTAACCTTTTCAAATGTTTTTTATTACCTCGAACCTATTAAAATCATTAGGAATAATCATGAAAGGTGTAACTTACACCCATGTTGCTTCGACCTGTTAGAAACCAACTCTAGTGCGCGTGGAAACAAAGTGGCGGGTCGGATGTACAATGTTTCAACAGTTTAACGAATGAACAAACCTCAATGTTCAGTTGAACATCAGAAGTATTACAGATGATGAAGTTTGGCTTAAAGCTCAGGCTTTTTCGTAATAAGAACGGGTTATTCAACAACGTTTGTCATGTCAAACTTATCAGATTGTAGTGCGGATAATATTACGCGTATAATATGTAATCCAAAGCTTTATAGATAATAGGAGTCAAAATTTGATTAAAAACCACCAAATTCAGTGATTTGACGGAAAAATGAGTTTTGAATAAATCGTTTTCAAGTGCATATATGTATATCGGATGTCTGTTTTGTACCGGCATTGATATCTCTAATTAAAGTATTTGCTGAAAATTAGTACCATGAAGGGACACAAATAATCAAGTAATCTAACGTTTGGTGGTTGTGGTATGTTAAACAACCTATTGTCTTTCATGTATCTAGCGTAACTATACGAACACAAAGAAAAATTCACCAATCTTATTGTGTGTTTCTTGTCTGATTCTATAGTAGGTCAGATAGCAAGTTTAATGGCTCACTTTTATGTTCACGTGTATAGACAACTCAAAATAACTGTGTTCTATAAATGACGATCTTAAATATCGTGCAAATGTCGACTTTACAATAATCAAGCTATTAATAGACTTTTCAGTGTTAGTTGGGTATTGTTTTAAGCAGATAGTTTCTCAGAATCCTAAAGTAAATCTGTCCAACACAGGAGATCTTGGTCTGAGTTTCACTAGGTCGAAAACCAAAAAACGATTTTCAAAAGAACTAATGTAGCGAATTCAGCGCTTTGTCATTCGTACGAAATTTTTCGCAACAGCCTTTGGCTGATAGATAAAAGGGAGATTATAGCAACTATCTTACAACCAATTTCGATTATGGTTAATTTTGGTTAAGCGTTTTTATTAACTTTCTTAACAATGTTATTTGAATAGTAACAATTCCCACATTCCTCTGTACCGTTATGATCACCAAATTATATGACAGACTCTAGCCAAAATGTCGATTGCTTAAACACCACCCGGTGACTCATCCTCATCCCCATGTATGTGCTCAAATCCTATTATCAGTCCTAGCTTTGCCTTGCTGTGCCTTTATGCGGTTTGGCTATAAATTTGCCTGTGTAATTGCTCGCATATATTTATTCGCCTCTTCGCTTCAAATTCGCTCAACGTGTTTATAGCTTTGTGATCTATCCGTCACTTCTCACTGCCTTCTGATTTTAGACACCATTGAGATTTATATTATAACTGTTATCGAGGTGATTGATTAATGAAGCAAAACCACTACAAGGTGTTGTAAATAGAACTGACGTATCAATTCTAGCGATTTATTTGGATGGGTCACTTAATTATGTTCGTTTATCGATCACGGACGGTGATGTTTGAGTTGGCCTAATTAGTCGTCTCCTGCCGTTCAATGGATGGGTTCATGTGGTGAAGATATAATTGGTAGAGTTAAATCGTTCTTACCACTTTGGGTTTCTTCAAAAATGAAATAATACACAAGTTCCAATAATGTTAGCATGCTGATCACTGGATCCATAGCTGGAATTCGTGTGATTTCACTTTTACATGAACCGATGTCTGTCCTCCACACCACCCCAGTAGTACGAGGGTTGTGGCCCATTATAGGCTTGAGTTTCGTCAAGAAAATTTTGTACCATATATTAGTACGGAATGAGTACTTAGTGTGAAACAACCACTGGGATCTATTGGTTTTCATGTCAGCTCATTCGCTGGGACAGTTTCAAAATCTTTGTGTCTTTGTGGTATTTCAGATAGTGAGTTAAGAATCGACTCGCACGTGTAGCAAGACCATAGTTAGAATAACCAGCATAGAATAGGTGCCTAAGTATTGTTTTGCTATCACCCTCTCCTGTAGCAACAGAGATAAAACAAATGATTTGAAAGAGTTCATTTACAGTGGACACACGTAAATGTGCTGTTGACAGTTATACTCCAAACCCTGTGAAACACAGCGAAAAATCCCTAATCAGTGAACAGAACTGAAAACAACAAAACGCCTAGGATTATTAACAGTATCGATATGAAACGAAAACTGGCAGCATTCAGTCGTTATTTAACTCAATATTCATTTGAATTTACTCTTTGCGTTGCACCTTCAACATTAGTATTATATGTCGTACTAGAACTAAGTAACGACGAGTCTATAATTTATGAAGGAACTAACCAGATATAAGATATTCGGTCTCGAGTTTTGGAGCGGAATTCATTCATTCATTTGGCTAAATAGCGTTTTGGCATTTTAGCTGATGTCATTTCATGATGAAAACTTTTAATATTATTCCTAACGCTAACCATTAAGTGTAAGTCATAACCCTTATTTAGTCTTAATCAGTAGGTGGACATGCTCAAGGCCACACCCAGAGGTCGTCTATAAATTGTGGCACCACCAAGTAACTATATAATTCATAACAATTTTACTTTTAACTATATAAGAAGAGTCATAAAATGCTGAAGTGGTTCCATTGTACTTGTGTGGTTGGACAGACTGGCACATCTCTAAATATGATGGTCCAGCCAGTGTGTCTCCTATACAGAAACCGTTTGCCCAAACTACATTTTTCCGTTTAGGTATCCGTACAAGTTCTCAGCGGCAGAATAACTAACAGTACATTTGTCGTGTTCAGAACTCTGAGAAAAACAATATATTTTTATACCATCTATAGAGAGTACGTACTAATTTCTCCAAGCCAAAAAATTTAAGGGCTCGATAACGTCAAACGATTAGTAACTCTATGGTCACCAGTGATTTACAAACGGGAGACAGTTACATGTCTACCGAATCTATTTTTGGCTGCAAACTAAACATATACTAAATGTCGTGCCGTAATACCGACTCACTTAACCTTTTACACTCTTCATTAACTCATCTTTGGAGTTTACGTTTATCCAGATAAATTAACTTAAGTTTTATCTAGCGATTTGCATTAGCCTCATTACGCCTCTAATCTGTTGTGCGTTGTTTAGTACATATCGGTGGATAAATCATTATTACCATTAGTTACAGTTCGGAATCAATATCAGCTTCCTAGTTTGAAACGTATTGGCATACGATGTCCCAGTATTATTGTAGTCTTACTTTGTAGTCTGTTTCCCAAGTTGTCATCACTTAACAAACAACAGTTAAGTAAACAATTGCTTTTAGTCATTTATTACTGTGAAAATGAAAATGAAATAGAAAGAAACGAGGACTTGCATGACACAGTAAAGAAGACATAAACTGATACTGGTAGATGATTATGTAACAATCGTCAAAATCAGGCATTATTGCTGAACTTACGAACGGCTTAGATAATATGATATGCTAATCCGTCATAACTATCCCTTATTAGGGATAAGCTTCCATCTAACCAGGGTATTTACTATAATTTCTAAAGAGGGTTTTCAATGTAAAAGGCAGTATGCACAGAACGTTACTCGGTTTCGCCATATTCGTAGTGAATGCTCGCTACGTCAGAGATCAAACTCTCACAACCCTAACACCTAGACATCTTTCAAGACACACGCAACTTCTTAACAAACATTTTAATGTCAATGATCTCAATAGCTAGCATTCATCGTCCTCCATCATCGCTACTGCACTTAAGATCCTTGGTCCTCTTAGGGTTTGAATCATATGGCTGTTTCATTGAATCTACATCTCCCTTTATTCCTTTTCCTTTGTGAATACTGATATAATCTCTTATAATCTTTCATTTAGTGAACTTGTCTGAAAACGATTATCTTTACAATAAACAGGTTTTATGAAATACTTGATTCTCCTGAGACAAATGTCTATTACGTCACCGCGGTGCAATACCATTTATGTTCTAACTGTTGTTGTATCTCGTCATTTGGGTTCAATCCGGATCGACGATACTTGAGGACCTAAGGACAACGATTTAGCTACTCTGATGAGGTCAATTATTTTCCAACTCCGAAGCTTTAATTGACGCACAATACGTTACCACCTGAAAGCTAACACATGGAGAAGACGAGTTGTAGGGAGCTTGATTTTTAAGTTAGGATGGGGAGTACGTAATGAACTGGTACATCCTTGTATGCGTATCAACAGAAAATGACCTTTTAGAATGCAGAAATGTAGCGGGCTAAATCCATAGGAATCAGTCGAAAAATGGTGAAGGTCATGAGAGAAAATGGGTCAGTAGAAATGAGATAGCAGTTGTCATTTCCGGAAGGTTTTCGGTGTTGTTCATAAAATTTGAAAATCATTGTGGTCACCATCTTCCCCTTTACAAGGCCCATTCACGTCTTCTGAATTTGTCGGTCTTCGATGGCTGTTTTTTGATTCTTTGCGGTGGTAATTTTTTTGAGATTTCTTGCGCCACTGTTTCTGTTTCACTCCGTATCTTTCTAGGTATTTCTTCCGAAATTATGCGAACGTTAAGATTTTTTTGAACTACCGTTGTTTCTTACGGCTAGTCTCCTTTTGGTGTTTTGAGTGTCTGGTTTCTGTTTTTCCTCATACAGTCACTTCAAAAATAGCTCCTCCACCTTGACTTATTTATTTATCCTTCGCTCAAGCTTCTTTGCTAGGTCTGTAGTTATGAGCATACGCTAATGACCCGGTCTTATCTACTCGTTGTCCTTCCTTCTTGGTTTGTTTAATAGCGTCATTTACTGTCCATAGCGTCCGTTTCAGTGGTGCTTCCACCAGGGGCTTTTCTTGAGGGGCTCCGTTGTTAGATATACCATTTCTATTTCGACTTCAAGACAGCTCGCCTAAAAAACACTTACAAATCGTTTAGCCTATCTTCTAAAACTTACATGACGTGGTAGGAGATGGTACTTAAATAAAAAAATCAATGAGTGTGCTAAACGCCAGTTGAGATCCATTATCAGTGATGATAGTCTCTGAAAGTTCATGATATATGAATAAATTCGTTATCACTCCTAACGTTTTTCACGTCGTCTGCAGTACTACTGCATGGATTTCAGGTCGTAGTGAATATGCGTCTACTAATACTAAGTAATAGATTC